GGGTGCCAATCTGTGGACTCCTTTACTACAGAGGGCTGTTGAGGCTGAGTCATTCAGTAGATTCAAGCTTTAGATAAACAGATTCAAGGGTTATGGGGAAAAGGCAGGAATATGGAGTGAGGTTTATCGGATCAGCCATCTTCTCACTGAATGGGAGAGGAGAATTGATGGGCTGAATGGTCTATTTCTGTTTCTATGTCTTATGATGTTATAGTAGAAGGGAAAATACTGGAGTCTTTTGTAAAGAGTGTGATAAATCAATGCTTAGAAAATACCAAAGGGATTTCGCAAAGTTAATATGGATTTTTGAAACAGAAATTGTGTTTGACAAACCTACTGAAATGTTTTGAGTTTGTAACTAGAATAGATGAGGGAGAACTAGTCAATATGGCATATTTGGATTTTTCAGAAAGCTTTAGATGAAGTCCCACAGAAGAGACTATTATGCAAAATCAAAACACATAGGATTGGTGGTAATATACTGGCATGGATTGAGAATTGCTTAACAGACAGGAAGCAGTAGGAGTTAATGGGTCATTATTGAAGTGGAAAATGGTGCCAAGTGGCATATTTATAGGGATCAGAGCTTGGACACATCATGAGTTACTCATGATATATATCGACTTGTATGAGGGAATCATGTAATATTTCCAACTTAGCTGTCAATGCAAATCCAGGTGGGAGTGAGAGCGGTAAGGAGTGGTAAGAGGCTTCATGGTGATTTAGACAAATAGAGTGAATGAGTGAGAAAATTTGTGGCAGATATAAGGTGTATAAGTGTAAAGTTGTCTACTTCAGGATGAAAAGCAATGGCAGAGTGTTATTTAAATGGTGATGAATTGGAAAGATGTACAAGAGGACCTGTATGTCTTGGGAAACTTGTCATTGAAATCAAACATGCCAGTGCATGTTAGGAAGACAACTGGTGTATTTGCTTTCAGTGCAAGTAGGTGTTTGAGTACAAGAGCAAGCAAGTTTTCCTGTAGCTGTGCAGGACCTTGGTGAGTGTTGCGTGTAGTTTTGATCTCCTCATTGAAGAAAGAGTATACCTGCCATAGAGGAAGTGTAGGAAAGGTTCGCGAGATTGATTCCTGGGCTGGGAGAGACAATGGGAAAGTCTGAAAGTGGGATGAGCTCAGACAGATCTCTCAAAGATGATAGGCAGAATGGCCACCATGCCCCCACTCTCATCCACTCCCATCCACTTCCACTCATTCCCAACCACTCACAGGCCTCCAACCCAATCCCAACACCTCTCATCCACCTCCCACTCACTCTCACCCAATGACAGCTATCCCACTTCAACCCACTCTGACTCTCAGTCTCTCCCACCCACCCCCATTTATTCCCACTTAGTCCCACCCACCCCTCACCAACTCTCACCCATTTCCCTCCCATCCCCTCCACTCTCCACCCCACCTCTGACCCCTCACACCCTCCTGTCTTGGACCACAACCTGTATCCAAGCAGTTCTTTACAGATTCAGGTAAATATAATCAAGAGAAGGTTCGTCTAACAGTGATTTGCTTAAATATGCATGTTATTAAGTAATAATGAACGATTATAGTGGTAATAATAAATAAATAATAAATGGAAGAGAAAAGGGAAAAAAAACAAGACGTCTGATACCCTTCTAGAAAAAGCACCAAGTCTCACGCCCTCCTGCCCGTTGGGGTCCCCTCGATTAATGGCTGCTCTGGAGGATTAAGTTTGTTCCTGGCACTGTTCACGAGTCTGAGCTGAGGTTAACACCAGCCATTGGTCGAAGGGGCCCCCGAGGGGCAGGAGGGCATGAGACTTGTTTTTTAACCTTTTCTCTTCCATTTATTATTTATTTATTACTGCCACTATAACCATTTATAATTACATAATAAACATTCATATTTAAGCAAATTGCTGTGGTCAAGCCTTCTCTTAGTTATATTTACCCAAATCTGTAAGGAACCGTTAGGATACATTCGGTGATCCAAGACATTTTTGGAGATGAGGTGGGATTCAGGAAAAGGTGTAAGAGAAGGGAAAGGCTACCTGATGTTCCGGAGACCTTCCCATATTCCGGGCTGGAATGCGGCAGACTCTGGATTCAGTCCTGTAGCAAATTGCTGTTGCTGAGCCTTCTCTTAACTACATTTAGCCGAAACAGAAAAGAGCCGCTTGGATAAACTCTGTGATCCAAGACAACTCTTCGTCCACTCCCCACTCAGTCCCACCAACTCCCTACTCCTCCTCACCCACTCGCCACCTCTCCCACCCACTCTCACCCATTCTCCCAACATCTCCTACCCGGTGCCACACACTGCGACCCACTCCAACTCACTCCCAATCACTCTCTCCCACCCACTCCTCACTTAACCCCCACCCATGCCTGTTCTCACCCAGTACCCACCAACAATGGACCCTCTCCTGATCCCCACTCATTTCCTCCCCCTCCACTATCTCTCAGTACACTCACCCTGTGCCTCCTATCTCCCTCCTTCCTGCCCCGACCCTCAGTCTTCCCCTCTGCTTTCTCCTCTTCCCTGTTTTCTCGCCCTGAGGCATTTTATGGAACACCGAAACAACACATAAAGGTCTGAGGCACAGAGACATGAGCTGGGAGTAATGCTACCACTCAGCTCAGTGAGTTATAACAGTGAGATAATTCTTGTCCGTTACTTCAGCACAATGTGTTCCATGCATATTTAAACCAGGACCTGGCTGTGACCCTCAGAAACTGCTGTTGACTTGTCATCTAAATTCAGTATCTGAATGAATTGTTCACACTGAGAGCACCAGCTCACAACAGGCTGCAAGATCATCAAATATAACTGAGTCTGACAGTAAATGACAATTATCTAATGGTCTTGCCTGGCCCATCTATATCTCTCTCTCTCGACCTGAGTGCCTGACCCTAACTCAGACCATCCACATTGCGGCCCACTGCCCCTCAGAGATCATCAGGTCACAGCCACGACTGAGCTAAAGCCACACAATCAGCGTTTGGCCAGTTCAATCGGTGGAGTGCCAGAGAGGTTTCTGCAAACTAGCGCACATTTTGAGGTAAAAGTTAGCAGGACAAAGGATTTTGCAGGAGAAGCCTTCAAGACTACATTAGAGAAGACAAAGAACCATGAGGGGAGATCCACACTGAGAACAAAACTGGCCACTTCAAGTGAATCAGGGTAATATTTGTATCAAGCCAAAGCTTAGAGTTAAAGTTAGAATCAGGGTTAAATGTGAATTAAGTTAAAGTAAGGTAAATTGAAGTTAAATGAAATGAGATAAAGTTGAAGCTAAGTTAGATGAAGTAAAGAGTCACAACAAACGTATGTATTACATTGAGTATTTGTACCTAAAAGTTTAAATAAAGAAGGGTTGCATTTAAGTAAAATTAAATTAGCTCCCCATTTTTGTCTGTCACACAAGGGAATACCTGGGCAACATTTCCATTGACCAGAAACTCAACTGGATTCACCATCCTGCAGCGAGTAACTCCCCTCCTGACTTCCCAAACCCTGTCCACCATCTACAAGGCACAAGTCAGGAGTGTGATGGAATACTCCCCACTTGCCTGGATGGGTGCAGCCCCAACAACACTCAAGAAGCTCAACACCATCCAGGACAAAGCAGCCGCTTGATTGGTACCACATCCACAAACATCCACTCCCTCCACCACCGACGCTCAGTAGCAGCAGTGTGTACTATCTACAAGATACACTGCAGAAATTCACCAAAGATCCTCAGACAGCACCTTCCAAACCCACGACCACTTCCATCTCGAAGGACAAGGGCAGCAGATACATGGGAACACCATCCCCTGCAAGTTCCCCTCCAAGTCAGTCACCTTCCTACTTGGAAATATATTGCCGTCCCTTCACTGTGGCTGGGTCAAAATCCTGGAATTCCCTCCATAAGGGCATTATGGGTCTGTGGCACATGGACAGCAGTGGTTCAAGAAGGCAGCTCACCCCCACCTTCCCAAGGGGCAACTAGGGATGGGCAATAAATACTGGCCCAGGCAATGATGCCCACATCCCATGAAGGAATTGAAAGAGTGCAGTGTTCCCACTGAGTATTGGTATCTGAGCTGGCGTGGCTATAGGAGGGTGACTTGCCAATGTTTCCTCTAGGGTCATGGTCCTGTTGTCCTCACAGACCCCCACGGATGGGTTTCTGGGGGAGCTGGATGTCTCACTCTGGGGCTTGTGGAGAAACGTGTCTGTGGCTGTGAGAGAGAAAAGGCATGGTGGTCAATGGTTAGGGATGATGTGCAAAGTATGAAGGTGACAGTGGGATTACTGAGAGAGGTGCAGAGGAATTAAAAGAGATACTTACTCGGTTACTGGGACATGGATATCTCAGCAATTCCACAGGAATGGTCCCAGTCATCTCCTGCGATGGCCAGGGTCCTCTCCTTGTAGAAGGTGAGGAGCCTGATGTTGGGAATCCCCCCACTCCCCCACCCCATCCACATGGGGTCTCTTTACCCCATTATGGGCTGTCTTCTCCTGGGGAATGAGAGAAAGGCAGGGATTGAGTGAGATCGAAGTGGGCAAAAAGTGGTGATGTGCCCCAAAGGCCATGGCGGGAGGTGGGTGCAGAGGCAGAAGTTAGAGCGAATGTGAGGCAGCACAGAGCAGAGTGTGGCACTTACCCTGGCACAGGGTCACTGACCTCCTTACCACACTGCAGGTCAGTCCTCTGGATGGACCCAAGTGGTGATCTCAGAGCAGGCTATCAGCTCCTGGTTGGGAGGTGACCCTCTCTGCTGGTCCCCCAAGAAGAAGTTGGCTCAAGGGACCTGGCAGAGAATTGTGATGCCACCTTCCCCTTCTCAAACGTGGTCAGAATCTGTCCATGATGGAGCGTGACACTTTCGGAAAGCCACAGTGACCTTTTGAAGATGGTGCCTGGAGAGTGATGGAAGCATATTAGCTGTGACTTCACTGTGTTTATTTGTATATCAAAATGTGTGTCAGATAATCTGAATAAATCTTTTGTTGTTAACTTCTGCATGTTACCTTGTACCATTTCGACACTGTGGTATCAAACAGATTAATGCCTTCCTTGCGTGTTGTGGATTTACATTTAAAGGAGAGTACGTTATTATCGAGAATATCAAAAGATACTTCCAAATCTGTTTCTGCCCGATGTTTGTCAACATAAATACAACTTGACTGCATCAGAAATGAAACAAGGTGAAAAAGTGTTTAGACAAAGCTGCTATTAATTGATTTGTTGCAGTAAAAGTCTTAAGAATTAAATCTTGACATGTGATCTTTTCAGTCAGTCAATGTAATTCAAATGAATAGCAGCCCCCAAACACCAAAATGTAACCGCTGAAAGTCAAAGCGTGATCCCTCAAGAGAATCCCTCGCAAAAAGATTATTGTGACCAATTCTGGGCTTCTCAATGTGATTGGTCTGCCTGTAGTTTCAATAGTAGGCCCTGTTCCCAGGCCACCCAATGGAACTCAGGCCGAATGGCTCCCCTTAAACAATGCTGCCAGTGTGAAGTAGCTACAGGGTGGACATTGGGATCATAGGCGAGCTGACATGGATAAACATATGGATGATAACGGAATAGTTTAGTTTAGATGGGCTTCAGATTGGTTTCACAGGTCGGCGCAACATCGAGGGCCGAAGGTCCTGTACTGCGCTGTAATGTTCTATGTTCTATGTTCTATGACATTCGAGCACAGGGAGCCCCATAAAATTCATCCCTAGGATATGAACATGGATTGAGAACAGCTGCAATCCTAGCCCTGACCAGTGGAGACCCCACAATAAAACTTCCGCTGGTTTGAAACAAACCGTTTGCTGCTACTTTCTGTTTTCTGTCATTCATATCCATGCTGTTACAATCCCAACACATTTTATAAAATACCTGAATTTCAGTGACTGACTAAACATATCACAAATCAAGATGCCAGGGTTGGAGGGTTGGAGCTATAGGGAGAGGCTGAATCGGCTGGGGCTATTTTCCCTGGAGCATCGGAGGCTGAGGGGTGACCTTATAGAGTTTATAAAATTATGAGGGGCATGGATAGGGTGGATAAGCAAAGTATTTTCCCCAAGGTGGGAGGTTCGAAAACTAGCGGGTATAGGTGTAAAATTTTAAAATGGACCTAAGGGGCAACTTTTTCACACAGAGGGTGGTGTGTATGGAATGAGCTGCCAGAGGAAGTGGTGGAGGCTGGTACAATTACAACATTTAAAAGGCATCTGGATGGGTATATGAACAGGAAGGATTTAGAGGGATATGGGCCCAATGCTGGCAAATGGGACGAGATTAATTTAGGATATCTGGTCGGCAAGGGCGAGTTGGAATGAAGGGCCTGTTTCCATGCTGTACATCTCCATGACTGTATTTAATTTGTAAAAACTTTTACTGTAACAAATCAATTAAAAACAACATTGTCTAAGCACTTTTTTTATAAAGCAAAGTGAATTTTAAACTACAGCAAAAAGCTTCCTCCATGTCATAGTTTACTTGTCCATTAAATTAGGAATCTTTTTGATTCCTTTCAGTGCAGATCAGGGCCATTCGGCCCAAGAAGTCTGCACCAACCCTTGGAAAAGCATCCCACCCTATCCCTGCATTTCCCATGGCTAACCCACCCGGCCTGCACATCCCAGTATACAATGGGTAATTTAGCATGGCCAATCCATCCTAACCTGCACATGTTTGGACCATGGGAGGAAACTGGAGCACCCGGAGGAAACCCACGCAGACACGGGGAGAATGTGCAAACTCCACACGGTCATCCGAGGGTAGAATCAAATTGGACTCCCTGGTGCTGTGAGGCAGCAGTGCTAACCACTGAGCCAGCCCAAAGTCAGTCTCACTGCTATGGGACTGGAGTTACATGTAGGCCAGATTGGGTAAGGATGGCAGATTTCCTTTCCTAAAGGGTGAAACTGAACCCTACGGAGCTTTAAAACAATTCAATAATGTCAACGCCACTTCTACTGAGGCCAATGTTATTATTTCCAAATTTGTTTTTCCTGAGTTCCTCTCACTTTTGCTCAGGCATGATGAGTATAGTAGCATAGCACCATAAGAAATAGGAATAGGCCATTCAGCCCCTCGAGTCTGCTGTGCCATTCAATAGGATCATGGCTGATCTGACATTCCTCATGTTAACTTTCCTGCATTTTCCCCACAATCTTTGATTCCCCGACTGATCAAGAATCTATCTGTCTCAGTCTCAAATATAGACAAGGACTCTACCCTCACAGCTCTCTGTGGCAAGGAGTTCAAAAGACCCTCTGAGAGAACAAATTCCTCCTCATCTCAGTCTTGAATTGGCGTCCCTTTATTCTGAGACTAAGCCCTCTGGTTCTAGACTCTCCCACGAGGGGAAACATCCTCCCAGCATTTACCCTGTCAAGCTCCTTAAGAATCCGATCTGTTTCAATGAGGTGACCTCTCATTCTTCTAAACTCCAAACTTTAAGTAAGTGAGGTCATGATCAGAGCAGAGTGGGACGTTACTGGACTCACCCAGTAATCTCCGAGTTCACAGCCTGGAGATCTGCGCTCAAATTCTAGTAGGGTCAACATAAATTTCATGAATAAATTCAGAATAAAAAGCTACTATCAGTATTGAAATTGACTGAACTGTTGCAAAACTTAATTTTTTCCTGAAGGAAATCTGCCATCCTCACCTGATCTGGCCTACGTGTGACTCCAGACCCACAGTTAGAGCTAAGGGGTTTTAAGTAATGTAGACAGATTCGAGAAGATGAGTCTGTTTCCATGGAGAAGAGGGGTTTGAAAGGAGACTCGATCGAGGTGTTCAAAACAAGCATTGGGCCTGGACTGAGTGGGGAAGGGGAAACTGTTCCCTTTGGTGGAAGGATTGAGAGCCAGTCACCAGAGGCTGGCATGGGATTAGGATTAGGGCAGAAGAAGCAGCAGGGACATGTGGATTTACGCAGCGAGACATTAGGATCTGACAGCGTGGTGGGAGCCTTCCATTAGCTATTCAGCCGAAAATAAAACAATTTACCATACATAACACAGTGTGGAGCTGGAGGAACACAGCAGGCCAGGCAGCATCTGAGGAGCAGGAAAGCTGACATTTCGGGTCTGGTCCCTTCTTCAGAAATGTCAGCTTTCCTGCTCCTCTGATGCTGCCTGACCCACTGTGTTCCTCCAGCTCCACACTGCGTTATCTCTGACTCCAGCATCTGCAGTTCTTACTATCTTTGAGTTACCTGACGTGACAAGTGGGGAGAGAATGGAACTGGATTAATTGTTCTTGTAGCGAGCTGTTACAGACTCAATAGGCTGAATGGCCTCTTGCTGTGCTGTAAACCATTCTATGATGGTATGAGTCCTAATGCCCTCTGAAAGGGCACTGATTAATGTTGTCGTTGTGCATGTTGATCTCCTACAGGGACATCACTGCGATCACAGAGGTAGCTCACTATCTAAGGGTGACTAGGTCCGGCCCAGCTAGTGATACTCACATTCCAGGAATAAATAAAACCTAATTGGGTCACTCAGAGTTAAACCCCTGTCATTCCGAGTCTCTCGCTCTCAATTCACACTATTTTCCACAAGTGGTTCCCAGTGCTGGCATCTGCTGCCACCTGCTGGTGTTTTGAAAAGAGTACAAGGTCGCCCTCAGTGGCTGGAGATGGAGGTTTGGGTGATGTTAACATCACACACAGGATCCTGTGGCTAACAGGGCTGATGTCTTTCCTCTCAGTCAGTGGGGATGTAAGCGGTCTGCACCGCGGTAAGGTACTGACCAGAGGGGAATTTTTTGGAGCTGGCACAGAGATGGACAGAGTCTAGCAGGGGTGTGGCAAGGGCTCTCTCCCAGGAAGGTCCTGAGTCCGATTCCCTGCAGCTGGAAAATTGATCTGAATGCAGTGGGGAGGAGGGAGGTGGGAGGAGTAATGTCCCCTCGTGCCAGAACAATAATTAGACTATTTAAGGAGCCAACTGAAACAGAGGGCCATAGAAACTAGTTGCAGCTGTAGGCCATTCAGCCCTTCATGCTTGTCCATCATTCAATAGAATCATGGCTGATGATCCAACTCAGTCCCCTGTTTCTGCTTTCTCCCCTTAACCTTTGGTCTAAGATCTAGCCATCTAGCCCTAAGATTTATACCTACCTCCTTCTTGGAAACACATAATGTTTTGGCATCAATCGCTTTCTGTGATGGAGCATTCCACAGGCTCTCTGCTCTCTGGGTGAAGACACTTCTCCTCATCTTAGTCCGAAATGGGATACTCCCTATCCTCAGACAGTGAGCCCTGGTTCTGCGCTCCCCAGTCATGAGGAGCATCGTTCCTGTGTTCGCCCTGACAGGCTGTGTTAGAGTTTCACCGTGATCCCAAACGGCCTCACCTCAGATGTCTGTTTAATTTTTGTGTTTTTAACATTTTAGTTAATGCCAGCAGGTCATTGTCAGTGTAAATCAATGTTTCATTGCAACCATATCTGACATACACCTCAAACTGTTGAAGAACCAGCAATAATCTCAAAGTTTGCTTTTCCACGGGTGGGAGCTAGACCGTGATCACTGTGAAGCAGGGCCAGGAGGAGTATGAACACAGTATTATAGAGATCCACGGCACAGAAAAAGGGCCACAGCATGTTGTTCTAGGGAACTGTCCTGAATACACTCTGTGAATTTTTCCTCATGGCTTCCTCTGCCTATCAGACTATCCCAATCTCCATGAAGATTAAAGACCCCCCGCCAACCCAACCCCGGTGAATGTACTGCCTTTGTTACTTGCCCTTATTGTCTTCTGATTTATTCTCTGTCACACCATATACTGACTGTTAGGATCCTATAGACTACTTCTTACCAGTGTCTTCTTCCCCTTCCTGTTTCTTACCTCCACCCACATAAATTCTACATCTTCTGTTCCAAGATCATTTCTTGCTATCGGACTTGGTCCGTCTTGCACCAACAATGCTGTCCCACATCCCTTTCCTTCCTGCCTGTCCTTTTGAAAATCACATACCACTGAATATTTAGTTCCTAGCTTTGATCTCATTATAAACCATGTCTTTGTAATGGCTACATGATCAGACCCATTGTCCTGTATTTGTGCTGTATTGTGATAAAAACTGCATATTTTTCTCTGTTTACTTTTGGGATGTGGGCGTCCCTGGCTGGGCCCAGCATTTCTTGCTCGTCCCTAATTGCCCCCTTGAGAAGGTGGGGGTGAGCTGCCTTCTTGAACCGCTGCAGTCCACCTGCTATGGGTTGACCCACAATGCCCTTAGGGAGGGAATTCCAGGATTTTGACCCAAAGAAATGGCGATATATTTCCAAGTCAGGATGGTGAGTGACTCGGAGGGGAACTTGCAGGGGGTGGTGTTCCCATGTATCTGCTGCCCTTGTCCTTCTAGATGGAAGCGTTCGTGGGTTTGGAGGGTGCTGTCTGAGGATCAAATAGAGGGTCATTAATTTTGAATTTTTTATATAATTTTTCTCCCGAGTATTAACTGCTGTTTTTCCGAGTTTGGTCCTTCCTCCCACTCTGGGTATCATTATCTAACCAGCTGTCATGACCCAGAGATAGTAGGAACTGCAGATGCTGGAGAATCCGAGACAACCAGGTGTAGAGCTGGATGAACACAGCAGGCCAAGCAGCATCAGAGGAGCAGAGAGGCTGACGTTTCGGCCCTATAGCTGTCCTGACCCATTCACTTGGTACTATAAGGCTACAGCTCACCCCTCCCGTACCCGCTCGAAAGCCCCAGGTACCCAATTCACCAGGACCCTGGACTCAGCTCAGCTCCAGTGAAGTGCATTCCCGCTGAACAACCCTCTGCTATCCCAACACTGGTACCAGTGCCCAATGAACAGTGCCCTATTCCTCCCACATCAATCTCTGAGTCATCCATTTCTCACCTTGACTTTATTTATCCTGTGCCAATTTGCCTGTGGCTCAGGGAGTAATCCAGAGATTGTTATTTTGGAGGTTCTGCATTTTAATTTATCTCTTAATTGTTCAAAGTCTTCAGCTAAACCTCCTTTCTAGTCATAGCATCATGGCGTCATACGGCTCAGAAACAGACCCTTCGGTCCATCCAGTCCATGCTGACCATGCTCTCAAACTAAACTAGTCCCACCTGCCTGTGATTGGCCCATATCCCTTCGAACCTTTCCTATTCATGAACTTATCCCCACATCCACCACTTCCTCTGGAAGTTCATTCCACATGAACCACTGTCTGTGTAAAAAATTAGCCCCCATGTCTTTTTTAAATCTTTCTCCTCTCACCTTAAAATTATGCCCCACCCTAGGGAAAAGACACCTGCCATTCACCTTATCCATGCCCCTCATGATTTTATAAACCTCTGTAAGATCACACCTTAAACCTCCTAGACTCCGGTGAAAAGTCCCAGCCTATCCAGTGTCTCCTTATAACTCAAACCCTCCATTCCCAGCAACATCCTGGTAAATCTTTTCTGAACCCTCTCCTAATAATATCCTTCCTATAACAGGGCAACCAGAACCACACGGTATTCCAGAAAAGGCGTCACCAACATCCTGTACAACCTCAATATGACGTCCCAACACCTATACTCAAAGGTCTGAGCAAAGAAGGCAAGCTTGCTAAACGCCTTCTTCCCAACCCTGTCTAACCTGCGACGCAAATTTCAAAGAATTATGTCCCTGAACCCCTGGGTCTCTCTGTTCTGTAAACACCACCCAAAGCCCTACCATTAACCCTGCCCTTGTTACCTTATCAGTGTTGGTCCTAATGTGGAATGGATAGTTGGGACTCACAGTATGGAATGAGGTGGGTACAAGGGGTGGGGGGGGGGTGGTGGGGAGCGGGTTAGAACCAGTTGTAGGGGCTGGGGCAATGGTTGAAGTTCGAGCCAGGATGGGAGGAGAAGTGTCATTGGCCCCCTGAATGATCTCTGCCAAGACTATGACATCGAAGCAATCTCCCACAACAAATCCCAGGCAATGGCTCGGTTCACAACAGGCAGCTCAAAGGGAAGGTCACAACGCACAGGGGGTGGGACCAATTGGATAGCATTCTCAAAGGCACCTTCTGGGCTGAATGGTCTCCTGTTATGTTGTACCTTTAAAATTCCCATCCTCACTTTCAAATCCAAACATGGTCTGCCCCCCCACTCCCACCCCACATCAGGAATCTCCTGAAGCCTGGAACTCCTTCCAGATCTCTGCCCTCCTCACATTCTGCACATGGGGAGGTATGTCCACATCCCACCCCACTGTGATCTCAGCCTCAAACTCTGGGAATTCTCATCCGAAACCGCTCCACCTCTCTCACTTTCACCCTCACTCTCTCACTGCCTCACTCCCTCGCTGCCTCACTCCCTCACCGCCTCACCCCCTCACCGCCTCACTCCCTCACTGTCTCACTCCCTCACCGCCTCACTCCCTCACCGCCTCACTCTCTCACTGCCTCACTCCCTCGCTGCCTCACTCCCTCATCGCCTCACCCCCTCACCGCCTCACTCCCTCACCACCTCACTCCCTCACCACCTCACTCTCTCACTGACTCACTCCCTCGCTGCCTCACTCCCTCACCAACTCACCCCCTCACCGCCTCACTCCCTCACTCCCTCACCGCCTCACTCCCTCGCTGCCTCACTCCCTCGCTGTCTCACTCCCTCACCGCCTCACTCCCTCACTGCCTCACTCCCTCGCTGCCTCACTCCCTCACCACCTCACTCTCTCACTGACTCACTCCCTCGCTGCCTCACTCCCTCACCAACTCACCCCCTCACCGCCGCACTCCCTCACTCCCTCGCTGCCTCACTCCCTCGCTGCCTCACTCCCTCGCTGTCTCACTCCCTCACCGCCTCACTCCCTCACTGCCTCACTCCCTCGCTGCCTCACTCCCTCGCCGCCTCACTCCCTCACCACCTCACCCCCTCACCGCCTCACTCCCTCACTCCCTCACCGCCTCACTCCCTCACTGCCTCACTCTCTCGCTGCCTCACTCCCTCGCCGCCTCACCACCTCACCGCCTCACTCCCTCGCTGCCTCACTCCCTCACCGCCTCACTCCCTCACCGCCTCACCCCCTCACCGCCTCACTCCTTCACTCCCTCACCGCCTCACTCCCTCACTGCCTCACTCCCTCACTGCCTCACTCCCTCGCTGCCTCACTCCCTCACTGCCTCACTCCCTCTGCCTCACTCTCACTGCCTCACTCCCTCACTGCCTCACTCTCACTGCCTCACTGCCTCACTCCCTCACTGCCTCACTCCCTCACTGCCTCACTCTCACTGCCTCACTCTCTCACTGCCTCACTCCCTCACTGCCTCACTCTCACTGCCTCGCTACCTGACTCCCTCACTGCCTCACTCTCTCACTGCCTCACTCCCTCACTACCTCACTCCCTCACTCTCACTCCCTCACTCCCTCACCACCTCACTGCCTTACTCTCTCAGTCTTTCTCTCTCTATCTCTCTCACACTCTCCCTCTTCTCTCTCAGTGTCTTGCTCTCTCGCTTTCACTCACTGTTTCTCTCACTGTCTTTCTCTCTCTCTTTCTTTCTCACTGGCTGGCACACTCACTGTCCCTTTTGCTGTCTCTCTCTCTCTGTGCCCCTCCTTTAAGGCACTCCTCTGTAACAGACCTGTTTGCCTCACCAATGTTCTCTTGAACTAATACCTCCTTAAATGACTAGTGTGAGATTCAGATTGCTAGATCTACTGTTAATCTGGGATATTTCCCTGTATTAAAGCTGCTACATAAAGCAAGTTGTTGTTGTTGATATCTGACTATTTGGTGACTTCAACAGGAAGGACAGGCTGGGTCCAGCCTTCTACTTTTATTCAAAACATATCCCACTGTCAGATAAAAGTAACTTCCATGGATCTTTTAGACAACGTCCTGCCTCGAATTTCAGAGAATCTTTTCAAAATATATTGGCTGGCTGTAGCTGGAGGGGCCACCATTAACTGTCCCTGGGTGCCCCGTGAAAAGGTGGTGGGTTTGGAAGGTGCTGTCTGAGGATCTTTGGTGAATTTCTGCAGTGCATCTTGTAGATAGTACACACTGCTGCTACTGAGCGTCAGTGGTGGGCGGAGTGGACGTTGAAAGTGGCGGTTGGGGCACTGGTCAAGGGCTATGCTTTTTCCTGAGTGGACACAGAATCACACTGCACAGAAACAGACCCTTCGGTCCAACTCGTTCGTGCTGGCCAGATATCCCAAATGATCTAGTCCCATTTGCCAACATTCGGCCCATATACCCCGTGAGTA